ATCCACTGCATCTGCACTTGATCGTGTTCCATTGGCTTCATCATTCCCACCTGCATCTACATCATCTGCATCCACATCTCATGCACCCATCTCACGACCTAGTGTTCCTTCTCAGGTTGATGAAACTGTACCAGCGGCGACACGACAAGTTGCACTATCTGTTGTTAAATCAAAACGACAAGGTAAAACCCCTACTTACCTTTCTGCCTACCATTGTTCCCTCATCCAAATTTCTTCAATTCCTCAAATTTCAACTCCACCTTCTCCTTACATGCCCTTTCCTCTCTCTTCTGTTCTTGGCCATTCTAAACTCCATCTTCCATATCAGTCCTTTGTTCTCTTTTGTACGGTTGAAACAGAGCCCCGCACTATTCATAAAACTATCTCAAATCCACTTTGGAACAATGTAATGGATGTGGAGATTACTGTTCTTGAACACAAGCGGATATGGTCTATTGAATTTTTACCACCTGGTAAGCATGTGACTGACTGCAAATGAGTCTTCACGATTAAATACAATCTCGATGGCTCTATTGATCGTTACAAGGCTCGTTTGGTTGCAAAGGGTTATACACAGCAAAATCGTATTGATTACATTGACACATTTTCCCATGTTGCCAAACTTGCTAGTGTGAAGCTTATTCTTGGTCTGGCTTCATGTCACGGCTGGTCATTGACGCAGATGGATGTCACCAATGCTTTCTTGCATGGTGATTTGGATGAAGAGATTTCTATGAGCCTTCCCCAAGGTTATACTCCTGCTCATAATGGTTCCTTGCCTCCAAATCCTGTGTGTCGCTTCCATAAATCTTTGTATGGCCTAAAACAGGCGTCTCGCCAGTGGTACCAATGCTTCTCTAAGGTTGTTTTTGCTGCCGGTTTTGAAAAGTCTTCGGGTGATAACACTCTTTTTGTGAAGCTTACGAGTTCATCGTTTATTGCTCTCCTTATGTATGTGGATGACATCATGATTGCTTCCAACAATGATGCTGATCTTCACGCCCTCAAGACGGCTTTACATGGTTCTTTCCAAATCAAGGATCTTGGCCCTCCTAAATTTTTCTTGGGTCTTGAAATGCAAGGAATACCTCAAGTATATCTGTTTGCCAACGCAAATACACTAAGCTACTGATTGTTTGCCCTGGAAACCTTGTACTGTTCCTATGGATCCTACGGTGAAGCTTAGCAAGGATAATGGTTGTACAATCGATGAATCTGTACAATGGTTTGGTACAAATTCATCTGAACTAATGAGAAAATCATTTATTCAGTCTCTTTCTTAATAGACTAAGCTTTTAACTCGCGCTACGCGCGAGTCTGTATTAATAATTTGGTTTAATTTTTTGACTTATATCTTTTAAATTATCAAAACTATAATATATTTGTAGAAATTTTCTTTTATATAAAAAAATTAAAACATAATATGTAGTATTTCCTATTTTTGTTAATAAAATTATAAATCTTATTAAGTAAAATCATAGTAATGACATCTAACGAATTATCAAACTTCGATGTACATATGTTTGATTTATAAAATGATTTCCTTACTAGATTTTTGGTGTTTTGTTTTGTATCCTTAGGATTTCTATGGTTCTTTTTAAAAAAAGGTTTATATATTTAAATATTTAGTTTCTTTACTAAATGTCTTACTAATGTTGTGTACATATACATATATAATATATGATATATGTTGATTCAGATTTACTTTTGTTAGTAAGCTACACTAATCGTGTAAAGCTGTTTTTTGTTTCTCCACCAGATCTTCTACGAATTTTAGGTTATATCTCTATTCAGTTTATAAGATCTGTTTTATTTGCAGTCAACTATTTGCTAATATTTTTTTTAAACATATAAGATGATGTTGAGACTTCACACTATCACTGTTTTTTTTTTTATCTTTTGTGTGTTTATTCATGTTTTGATTTGAATATTTTATCTTCATATATTTCCATTTGAATTTGATTCATAACTTTGTCATATTATATTATTCAAATAAAATTTTAGAGGATGTTGCTCATGTGTTGTTCATGTTGACTAAGTTATAAGTAGTAAATATGTATACAAATTAGACTTTATTACTTATTATATTTTGAATGTAAAGTTACTTGTGTAGTATTTTACTTTGTTATTTTTTCAACAAGACGCAACCAAAGTATTAATCTTTGTTAATTTAAATAATATGTTTGATTTAGAAACTTGTATAACCTATTAAAACTTTATATGGTTATTCATAGTCAACATCAATATTTTAGAAATCATGAATGTTTTTGGAACTATATTTCAAACTAATTTTCTTCTTAGATCTTGTTTTTTGTTATTTTAAATATCTTCAATGATAATTTTATATTTTATTTTAATTATTTAATTTTCTGCAGGTTTGATATACTTAAAACATATATATTTTTAATTAATCTCTTTTGTTATTGATTTTTCAAATAGGTAGCATATATATTAATCTAATATATTTTACATAAATGCTTTTTCTTTGTTAGATTTACTTTTTAAATTAATTAAAATACTATTTTGACATGCTATAACTGGTTATTCTAAATTTTAAGTGAATTTCTCTCAAAAGCTTATACCATCATTTGCTTTTTTAGTTAATATTTGTTTGGTAGTTAGCCTAAATATCAAGCTAATTTACCTCTCTTGATATTGGTTTTTATTTTATTTTAATACACCATTGTTTTTAAAATATTGATATTTTGAAGACATAAATTTTTTGTTAGTTAAATATTTTTATATGAATTTTTTAAGTAGTTAGTTAGATATCAAGTCAATATATTTTTAAGTTTTTTTTTAAAAAAAAATAATATTTTGTAAAACTTAATATTCATTTTAGTTTTTTAGTTAATTAATTTCTTAATATTGATTTCTTAAATAATTAGCTTAAATATTTATATTATTTTTGTTAGTTAAGTTTTTAGGTATTATTTAAGTTTTTTTATTCTCTTACTTGTTCTGTTTCTATTGATTTTGTTAAATAAATAACATAGATATTAAGTTAATATCCTCTTTTTGTTAATTTAACTTTCTCGATATGGACTTTCATTTTAATTATATTGACATGTCGTAAGAAATAATTTATGTTTTGGTTTTTGCTAGTTAAACATTTTTTATATTGCTTTCTTCAGTAATTAGCATAAAGTATCATTTTTGGTTTGTTAAGATTTTTGTGTTAATTTTTTAAATATTTCCCTAAAAATTATAAGTTTTAGATGACTTTCTTTTTTGATAATTTAAGATGAATATTTTTTTGATAGTATTGATATTTTTAAATAATAATTTTATATGTTTATACGAAAATTTAATCTTAATATTTTTTCTAAATAAATTACTCACTTAATTTTCCATTCTATTGTATAATTTTATATTTTTGTATGTTTTAATTTATTTAAATTATTAATAATATTTTTTTATTTTTTATGTTTAATAAAAAACGCTAATATAGACTAATCAGATTGAGTATATATGTCATATGTGGACGCTCTCATTGGCCTAAGAGATCAACACGGACCACAACTAATATATTTTAAGTTAGCATTTTAGATTTTAAGTTGTTTGTCGTGATTAAAATTTTAAAATAATTTAATTATGGTTTTAAATACAGTTTTTAATAATTTTGTTTAATATATATGATTTTTTTTTCATAATCTATTTATATGTTAATTTACCTTTTTATTGTTAATTGAAAAATAAGATCTATTTTCAAAATTCTTTTTTATCAATAACTAACTTAAAATTTAGAAACTTTCCTAATAACAACAAAAACAAAATTAATTAAAATTTAAAAATTTTCTTTATAACAATTAAAACGAATTAATTAATTTAATATACAATATATAATTAACTAAAAATAATGATGATGTATATCAATATAATTGAATCTTTAAATCCTATGTGGACACACTTAGAGACATTTAGTATCAACTTTTATTAGTAATAGATTTACAATAAATGATTTTTGGAAGTCCAAGGTTTACCACAAAAGACTCATGAAAAAGGTAGAAGAGAGCAAACGCGTCCACCAACTCTTCACTGAAACGAATGAAAAACTGATGAAGGTGAGAGTTTCTTTGATGTTTTTTTTTTTTCTTAGAAGGACAGGAAACGGGTTTGTTGGTGTTTTAACATCATTCCTCCTCTTTCATGTTTTAAGGTTTGAATTTGGAGGAAGAATCGCAAGTGATGTGGTGAATGGGCGATGGGATTGTGTCTATGTCTATTGTTGTCATGATTTTGATTATATAGCATGTGGATGTGGATGCCGATAAATTGTGGATGTGGATGCTGATAAATTATGGATTTGGATGCTGATAAATTGTTAAATTAATTGCTCTCTGTCTGGATCATCATTCTGTTGAATGAATCTCCTCTGGTTTGCTTTGGATTAATTGCTCTCCGTCTTGATCATTCTTCTTCTGTTGAGTGAATCTCCTCTGGTTTTGCTTTGGATCATGGGATTCTCTTGTTTGCTTGGTTAAACGAATAAATTAGTTAGGTTATGATAAAAAAAAAAAAAAAGTTTGCAAAGCCACGAAATAATAGAAAATAGTTTATGGGGTCACAAAATATATATTTTTTATCATAAATTTTATTATTTATAAAGAGATTATAATTCTTTTCTTGTTTCGGACCACTATTCGTGGGAATGTGTGCTACAGGAAAAAATAAACACCTAATAATACAAATTTGTCCCATAAGTTTCCAATTTCATTCTGACTTTGTCAATTGAATTTCCATTTATACCATCATTAAACATTCATGTGACTTTAATAAGAAGCAATCAAAACGTTATCCAAAAAACAAAAACAAAAAGCAATGGAAACACAGCTCATCATATTCCCCTGGGCTTTTGCACTTCAATGACTCAATTTCTCTCCTTAACTCCATCAATTATGCCCAGAAAAGGCTAGGTTTAAGACTTTACCAACACGTCATTCCTAACGACGTCGTTTGCAACCGAAATTTCTAGCTTATTCTTCTTCCTTCCCTAATTAGCGGAAACGTTAGGGTTTCTGACCATGAGAAGAATTTCCCGTCTCTGCAAAAAGAGGAAAACCAATAACAATCCGAAATCTCCGGCAACCTCGAAAGAAAGAAACTCCGATGTTCTTCCTTTGGATTTACTGATAGAGGTTCTTAATCGATTGCCTGCGAAATCCATAGGTAGGTTTCTGCTCGTATCGAAGTCATGGGCAACAGTCATCCGCAGCAAGAGTTTTATAAGATGGTTTCCCTTACCATCCTTGAATCAGCCTTCGCGTCTCCTAATCGTTTTAACCAATACAGAAGTCATGGCAGACGGACACCGAAACATCTGTTTCTTCTCTACGTCGTCGTCTTTGCTCTCGTCCTCATCATCAACAGAAATATCAATATCTTTGCTATCGAGAATGACTCGTCCCCGACAATTCGTGTACCCTTACTACTACGTTAATGGGTTACTGAGCATGGGAGATATCATAGTTAGCCCTTTCACCGGTAAGTCCAAAACTTTACCGATCCTCAAAACTTTACCGGAAATACAAGATTTGTGTAGATATATATGTAATATTTCCGAATAAATACTTTTTCGGATACGATCCAATCAATGATGTGTATAAAGTGTTGTGCATTACGGATAATTTATATGCTTGTAGTTATATGGAAGATCCGTGCTGTGTCTCTTGAGTATTCATATTGGAAGATAAACAAGATTCATGGAGAGTGATCGATTGTAGTATTTCTCACTATCCTTGTTCTAGAGGTTTGTGTATAGATGGAGCTGTGTACTACATTGCGCTCACGCGCACAGGACAGCGTGTGGTGAGATTCGATTTGAAGTCTGAAAAGTTTGATATCTTTGCTAGAGTATCCAGGGATTTTCTTGTTTTGAATCGTCCTGTTCCAACTTTGATAAACTACAATGGAAAAGTAGCCACAGCCACTAACTCTGACAGTGATGACAGTACAATTGATTTGTTTGTTTTCGAAGCCGGAAAACAAGAATTCTTGGAGAGGACTTTCCATATTCTTCCCGAGCCGTCTTTACGTATGCAAGGTACTAATCATATGGGTGAGGTTGTTTTTGCACCACGCCACGGTTCCAAAGAGGCTAAAGTTATCCTCTACGATCCCAAGGGAGATAGTTGTAAGAAGTTTAAGATTGAAATTGACGCAAAGCCTAAGTTGTTTTGTCAAGAAAATTATTTCGTGGGTTACGTAGAGAGTCTTACGCTATTGTAGTTAGAGAGATATTTTCTACACCATTTGTAGGTGATTTGTTGTCTACTTTTGATTTCTATCATGTAGAGTTGCTCAAAAAAATTGATGGAAGGAGCAAATATCACACACTATGCAATTACAATAATAATCAAATAAATTTACAAAAATTAGAGAGATTAAACTCTGGAAATACCAAACTGATATCCGATGGACTGAGAATATAAACCAACATATCATAGGATTGGGTTTGTGCACCATGGAGAAGTGCTAATGGTCAGTACCAAAGCATGAAGAAGTTACATTTAAATCTATGCAACACATTTTGTCCCGTGTCTTGTTGCCTGAATTGAACGACCATATTTTGGTCGGGCCACTTCATGACCATCTTGTAAGGATCTGAATTGGCGTAGGGAGCTTTAGCAAGAAGTTGAAAGGTTTCCGTGTGAAGATCAAAGGATAAACCTTCTGTTTCTTTGCACTGTTGGAACTTAATTTTTAAGACATATTGTGCCAGTACATTTCCGAGTAACTTTTTAATATATTCATGTGAGAATGACTAGAAAATGAGAGCGGTCAATGCATCGAACACTATGATAAATTATACTCGTATATCAAAACTGAAGTTTGTTTGAATAAAAATATATAAAATTGTTATTTAAAACTATCATATTAAAAAAAAACTTCATGTTAAAAAAAAAAAAATCACTTGATATGCATTCTAACTTTTTGGAATATCAACACAAAAATTTTAACTAACCAAAAAATAATGTTTTATACTAATTATTTAAGAAATCTACGCACCGATTAAAAATCTAGTATAAATTCAAAATTTTAGCTGCTTTTCTAAGGCAGTTGAAATGCCAAAACAACAAAATAACAAACAATAAACCTAACATTACTACAAACGTTTCTGAGCACCTACCCTTATTTAATGATTAGAATAATCCAAATTTAATCTTATGAGAAAGTGGGAATACTAGGCATGCCTATCAATGAATGTTATAAGAGTATCTAAATAAATTTTTTTAACACTTTGTTTTATTGATCATTGTTTCGAATCATAACAATATAGAAGAGATCTAACAGATAAAATACATAGAGTAATCAGTGATCTCGTCCAACAAATTGATGAAAAGGGATTTCCTTGACAATACATTGGCGATACCAAAAACAATTTTGTTCCAAAACTTAAAAATGTCAATAAAAAGGTCAATAAAAAACGTTCACAGTAGACAAACTTCTTATACTTTTGACGATAACATGACAACAATTCTCACAATATAGATAGATCTCCTCTTTGATCAAACTTGAACTTTCTAATGAGATCAGTAAAACAGAGGTGAGGAGTGGATGATCCAAACAAGGTAGCATCGAATCTCCAAAGAGAAAAATGATAGATCGAACAGGAGAGAAACCAAAACATGTTTCCACTGAAACAAGCAAAGAAATTCCGACAATCCCAAAACAGAAAAGCCGCTAGAAACCAGATCTAAAAGGTAGATCCAGAAAAGAAGCAAAACAAAAAAAAACAAAAGCATTTAGAATAAGTTAAACCGGAGATCAAAGCAATCCGGCACCCCAAACCACGCTTATGCTTAAATCCAACTAGATCTGCAAATCAAACCCCCAAAAATCAAATTTGATAAAAAGATCCAAAACTAATGGTTTAGACAAAGAAGAAAACAAAAAAAAAAAGCAAACAGGAATCCGACTCCGGTGCTGAGAGAGCCACCAGAGTCAGAAATTATAGAAGCAATGTGGCAGCTCTTAAAGAAAAAATTTAGGGTTGAGTATCTAAATATTTAGACAAAAAAACAAAAGTAAAGAAAAGTAGAAAAGAGAAAAAGGAGTAGTTCTCAAGAATTTTTGTTTGAGAATAGTATCCAAACTTATGAGATACTTTTGAGCATATGTGCCCTTCTCTAATTGATTTTATTTAATTTAAATATGAAAATTAATTTTATATAATTTTTAATAGTTGAAATACCTTTATTTAGATATTCAACCGATATAGATGCTAAAGCACCTCCATTGGTTTAGATACTTTTTTGAGGTTCTCAACAAAAATATAATATTACTTTACTAAATAATTTACTTTTTGTTAGGAAAAAAAATGAACCAATAGAAAACAAAAAAAATGTTAGATAAGGTATTTAAAGTTATCTAAAGCACCTCCATTAGGGTATCTAAAAAAATACCTCAACAAAATAAATTAATATAATAAGGAGAAAGAAGGAGAGAAAATGAAGTGGATATCTCAAATGAGAGATCTGAAAATATTCCTAGAGCATCTCCATCAGCAAGAAACCTCTTTGAGATTCTTAAACAAAAAAAAATATTTTAATATAATATAATTATGTGATTAAATTTTAGTTTGCAAAAAGAATTGAATTAATAAAAATGAAGCAAGTGGCATGAAGAGGTTCTAAGAGTATCTAAGAGCATCTCCACTGGTCGTATATGGGCTAATACAAAATAATAAAAAGGAAGGAGAGAGATAAAGAGACGTATCTCGTTTGAGATATATTTAGAAATGTATATGACCAGATGTCATGCTCTGATTAGTTTAATTTTTTATATTAATAAAATATATTTTAGATACCCTATTTAAGATATGCACTGTTAAAGGTGCTCTAAAGGTATCTCAAATGAGATATCCATTATGTCTCTCTCACATCTTTTTTTTATATTTTAAATAATAATTTTGTGTTGAGATACTGTTTGAGAACTCCTTAATATAGTATTTTTAGAGACTAAAAAAATATTAACTTTCTTATGAAATACTCCATAGAGTATCTAACCAATAGAAATACTATAAGAGCACCTCCATCGGTTAGAAATGATAAAAGAATTTCTCAATAGTTTAAAAATATTAATTATTTTAATTCAAAGTAATTAAATAATTAAGTTTTATTCTCTTTAAAATGTATTATCCAATAAAAAAAACAAACAGGTGTAGATACTGTGCACATCAATATTTAGACTTAAAACTCTAAATCATACCAATCATGCTTTATAAACTTTCTCTTTCTTTTATTTGCTTACAGCCAAAATATTTCCTTTTTTATTTTATTTTTGGCTGTACAAAACATTTTTTTTTCTAAAGTATGTAATTTTATGCTTTCTAAATTTTATAATTCTACAACCAAAGTTTTAAAGAATCAAAATCTACAACTACAGCAAAAAGACCTACACCCATATTTTTACAGCAAAAACGTAAAGCTACAGCTGTCACCAATCAAGCCTTATGTCATGGTTTCTCAAACAAGAAACTGTTCTCACTTCTCTTTCTCACTTTTCTCTTTTTCTGTTTTTTATTCCTGAGGGTGTGAGATATTCCTAACGGAGTTGCTTTAAGAACATCTTTGTTAAGAGTATTTCAATGGGTATCTCACAATATAAAACAATAAAAATTTAAGAAAATAATATATTCTAATGAATAAGCATGAGAACCGATTCTTAAATGAGATATTTTGAGAGTCTTTGAAAATCCTTAAAATTGGACACATGTCTATTTATTAGTGGTTCAATTTTTTTTTCCAATAAGTAAAGTACAAATTAGTTTAGAATGTTGCTTAAATAGTTTATATGTTAAAATTTTTATTTTTTTATAAATCATAAAATAATTATATCTTTCTATTAAGTTTCATTATCCATAAGTTTTTTTGATAATTTTGATTAATGAAAAAACTAGTTTACCAATAAAAAAAATTGCAATAAAATTCTTTAAATAAAATATAATCAAAATATTAATATTATATTAGTGAGATACTCAATGGGTATCTCACCAATATGGATGCTCTCATTTGAGATACTCATCATTTTCTCTCTTTTTTTTTAAAAAAAAAAGTATTTGATTATTTTTTATGTTGAGATACTTTTTGAAATATCCGTAATAAAGATGCTCTTGCAACATCTCCATTAATGAGATACTTTTAGAATATATAATCAATATAATACTACTATTTTTATTATATTTTATTCATCACAAATTTTTATCTCCATTAGTGAAATAATTTCATAGTTTCTCAATAGTATAGTATTAATATTTTAAGTAGTTTAATAATTTTGATATAAGATATTTTTAATGTATGTTAAATTTTATCTTAAACTAAATAATTTCTGTTAATATTATTTAACATATCAAATTACATTTTAAATATATATAAATATATTAAATTAAAACTTAAATACAAAATTTTATAGCAATATTAACAAAATCATTCATTATAAATAACATACTTAAACAATTTTTTGGTTGATGATGTACCAAATTTAAATTATAATTTATCCCAAAATTTTGATGCACAAATAAATTTTAAATTCAATATAATTCAATTAATCAATTTTAATTAAATAATGTAAAATAAAATTTTATACTTTAAAATTATACAAAATGGATCTTGATAGATAGCTAATGTTTATTATATAATTTATAAAAAGTTAATATAATTAAAGAAAAAAATTTATAAACTATTTAAGTCATATTATAAACTATGATATATTTGATTTATTGTAAATCAATTACATCAATCATAATAAAATATTTGTCTCAAACAAGAATATCTCATGGTATTTATAAATCTTTTCTTTGAAAATCGATTCTCAATTTTTTTTTCTCTCTAATAATGTTTTCTTTATTTTTTATTATATTAAATCTTTAGATATCCCATCAGATATTTTTAATGAGAGTGCTTTAAAACATCTCTTAATATGAGATCAATTATATTAATATAATTTAATAATTAAATTAAAATTTATATAATAAATAAAATAAACCTATCACATAAAAACACATACATATGTTTCAGATTTTATCTCCTTCTTTATCACTTTTATATCTATACTATTAAAAAAGAATCATTAATTTAAAATGCTCAAAAGCTACCATGGTATTTACTAAATGTGCCACTGTATTCATTAAAAATTTCAATTATTTCATTAAGGGTAATTTTATCATATTATTAAACTGTTAATAAATGAATTAAATTAAACTAAATTATATTAGTTTGTTAACAGATAGTATCAATAAATTATGGACAATTTCCATAATTACACTAAAAATAAGTTTCATGACAAATATAATAGGGAAGCTAAAAAATTTTCACCTCTAACATTTTTCAATTGATTTTTCCAGTTTTACTCTTTAGGAAAGTCTTCCTAAATATTTTTTTTTTCTGTTAATATTTCATGATTTTTTTAGGAAGATATTCTAAATACTATAATTTAACATCGTTTCATATGGTTTAGGAAAGTTTTCCTAAATTTTTTTAAAATTTCCTAAATTGTGGAAGGACTTCCTGAATTGTGGAAGGGTTTCCTGAATTGTAAAAAGGCTTCTTAAATTTGAGTTGTATAAATTAACAAAAATAATAATCAATTATACGATTTACGAAGGCATTCCTAAATACATGTAATGACTTCCTTAGTTTATACATTTTAGGAAAGTTTCCTAAAACTTTAGAATATCTTCCTAAATTTACGCTCATCTCCTTCCCCCCCCCCCCCCTTCTGCGATATCCAAACCCTAATTTCTTTTGATTTCTTTTCTTTTCACCATTGTTGTTGTTTTAGCTCGGGTTTCTTGAGTTTTTCACCCAATTATATCAGATCTATCTATCATTATATGATTTTGAGCTTTAAATCCCGAAATCACTTTCCCATAAAAAAATCTCAAAAATCTAAGAGATTCACAATCACAAATCACAATCAAATGAGAAGAGTGATCATAAACAAAACAAATGATTCGATTTCAAATCAGTCTTGGTCATTGATACATTTGTTTGTACATTATTTTTCTTCTCTTTTTATTAACTAATGTTTTGTCTAACTAAGATTACTATAGTACAAAATGTTATGGAAGGAATTTTTTAAAGTGTTAGTAATATATGGAACAAAAATAACAAAAATTTAGATTATGTGCATTTGAGGGAATTTCTCATAAATTATATCTAGTACTAATAAAATTCAAATAAATTTATTTCGAAATTATTGTAGAATCTTTCATAATGTCTTAACATAATTACCACATATATATATATATGCATGAATAACTAATATAATTATATATATTATATTATAATCAATTTTTTCTCTATAATATTGAACGAAAATCACTACTTTAAAATATCTAAAAGCTACTATGATATCTAAATAGGATAATTTATAGTCAATAATGAATATGTAATCATTATTTTCTGGTTACATATGTACATACTATGAAAAAAATATTATATAATTTTTTTTTCTTGGTTTGTTAATAATTGTTTTTTGCGGAAAATCATGGGTTTGGGAATTTGACAAACATAATTTTGTAGTTTTACTGGTTTTACAAAATTTTAGCGGATTTTATAAGTTTTAGCGAAAATTATATTTTTACGAGAAAATGCCGGTTTGACAAGAAATGTGCTTTTGTAGATTTAGCAGAAATACATGATTTTAGAAATTTGGTCTAATCATGATTTTGCAGATTTAGAGGAATTACAGGAAAACACGGGTTTGCAGAATGCGAATAACGCAATTTTGCAGATTTTATGGGTTTTACAGATTTTAGTGGGAATATGTAGTCATATGGGAAAATGCGGATTTGTGCGTTTGGAAACTCGATTTTGCAGGTTTGGCAGAAACATATGAGTTTAGAAATTTGGTCGTAAAACATGATTTTACAGATTTTACAATTTTACGGAAAAACACGGGTTTGTGGATTTTACGGAAAACGTGATTTTGCGAGGTTTACATGTTTTAGCGGGTTTTATAGTTTTTGATGGAAAAATGTGGTTTTATGGATTTATTGAAAATGCAGGTTTGCGGGTTTGACGAGAAACACAATTTTGCAGGTTTAACAAAAACACATAATTTTAGAAATTTGTTCATAGAATACGGTTTTATGGTGTGGGGGGAGGGGGAAACATAATTTTTGGTTTTGTTAAAAAATGTGGGTTTGCAGTTTTGGCAAGAAAATATGGTTTGATGGAAAATACTATTTTTACAGTTTCTACGGAAATTCCCGATTTTGGTACAACAACGTGATTTTACGATTTTGCGGGAAAATGCGGCTTTTTGTTCTGATAGAAAGCTCTGATTTTATGGTTTTGACAAAAAAAAAATTGATTTTGTGGTTTAAATTAAAGGGTGTTTTGGTCTTTTAATTTTTAAGATTCAAATGCTGCATCCAAACTCTATTTTTTAGTATCTTAAATATACAAATTTTGAGATATTATAGATTTTGTGTCCAGATACAACATCCACATACTAATTTTAAAAAAAATATTTTTTAAAAACTTTTTAAAAAAAAGTATCGGGATGCAAAAACAAACAAAGCCTAAGTAAATACTGAAATCTTAATTACAAACAAATGAAATCTCTCTTGCTTTATAAAACATATATTTTAAAATAGTTGTTACAAAACTTAACAGAAAATCCGCTAATAAAAATATTTTTTTTTATAAAATCAAGCCTAAATAATTTTAAGAACATAAAACCAAAAATATAAAAATAATTTATATAATCTAATAAAAAATTTTAGTTTGGACCATAATTTTGAATTAAATAATATAAGTTGATTTTTCTTTGAACAAAAATTTAATATAAACCAATTTTTAATATGGTCCAAAAATATTTTATAAAAAAAAATCGGCTTTAAGTGTCCGGATACAAAATTTAGTTATTATATTTAATCTAAGATACTCCTATTACAAATGGTCGTGGGTAAGAAAGTCATACTAGAAGTAATAAGTAAACTGATTAAAAACTTAATAATTCGCTTAGATTGAAAAAAAAATGATTAAATATGATCGTCCACGGATCTTAAATTGCTTCTATGTTACGTTGCTCGAACGTTGGACTCGTTTACGAGAAAGTGAGACCTTTTTTGTCTTGCATTCATTCAACCACCTCTCGTTATTTGCATCATTGATCACGTTTCTCATGTAGTCTCAGTGTTTTCAACTTACATGACTTTGCCCACCAGCTGTTCGCCAAAATTACCAAACCAGTGTTCGTTTAACTCACATAAAACGTTTCTTCTTTCTTTCTCTTCGTTCCAGTTTCCAGTATCGAAGTCAGAATTTGGTTTGATCATGGACCGTTGGTCCGGCGTATTGAAGATTCCGTTGGATGCTACTTCTGTCAACTACTACAGAGTTGCAGCATCTCTTTGCCTTTCTTCTTCTTCCTCCAAAGCATTAGTTGTGAGTAGCATTTTCTCTTTTACTCTGTTTTTTTTATTGCTGCTCATTGAGAAAGAGTGCTTCATTTGATCAGCAGGCGCCTTGTGCAAATGCGATATTCTTTCACGGGGACATGGTTCGAGAGACTGGGAATCATGTGATCGAGAGGCTCTACGATTTGCAGAAAGTAGCTGAGATTATAGTTTCTAAATTCGGCAACTCTGTTAATGCTTGGGTTGTTGAGGCTTCTCTGTATAATGGACCGTTTGCCATATACAAGGACTTTGTTCCATCAGTGAACCGGTTTGGAGAACCAAAAGCATATTCCCCATTTGGCTTCCCAGCTTCTTCATCCATCGTCTCCCTCTTATCCAGTTTCCTTCATGAGGTAAATCTTTGATGCTAAGCCACAAAGTCACAGTCTCTCATTTTGACAATATGATTTTACCAAATCAGGCAGGTAAAGAAGTGAGTTTGGTAAACCAGCTTGCGTCAGGTCATAACTGTCCCAGAACAATCGCTCTTGGGTTTAGCAAAGGTGGAGTTGTGATTAACCAGCTCTTGAGCGAGATGAGTTCATTGAGTACAGATTCAGCGGAAACTTCTTCATCTACAACTCAAGAAGAACACAGGAGCAAGCGTGAAGATGTTCAGATGATTCCAGCATCGAAAGAGAGCTTCCTCAGCAGCATTTCTCAGGTCCATTATATTGATGTTGGACTGAACTCTCGTGGTGCTTACATCACTGATAAAAACGTCGTGCAGAGGATCTCCCAACGGCTTGCAGGAGGAGAAGAGGCGGTACGCGTCGTCCTCCATGGAACTCCGAGGCAGTGGTGTGATGAGCAGCGTGGCTGGATCCTCGAGGAAAAAGATGAGCTGGTTCGGTTGATCAAATCCGAAGCTGAGAGCTCCGGTGGGAGACTAGAGGTCCATGAAAGGTTGTATTTTGCAGACAGACTTGCTGATCTGCAGATGCACTTTGAGATCATTGATGTTATGGATGTCTCGTCAACATGATCGCGGCATGATGATGATGTTCCCTTTGTCAAGGTTTACAATCTCCCATGTTCTTTCTCAGATATATTTAGTCAAACAACCGTTGCCTAGATGATGCAATCAAGAGAACTAATAAAGACAGATTGTTGCATTGAGAATTTGAATTCGAATATAGTGAAAAAAAATTGCAAAAAAGAAAAATCAATTTGAAGAAATAAAAAGAAGCCACCAAATAAAATACCATAAAGTAAATATAATTACAAAATCAATTTGAATAAAACGATGAACGACGTCAACTACTCATTAAACACAAGTTTTGTTCTGCATTTTCTTCTTCTTCAAATCCCTGACGCACTCGACGGAGAAACAAAAGGGATTTGGAGATTTTATAATTTTCAACAATTCTGGATAATTGTCGATATCAATGTGTTGAACCAGAAAATCACCACTAGGGTTTTGATTTTCGATTGTGGGTTTTAGTGAATATCAAATTGGAGCTCGGAGATTAGGTCATCGAAAAGATGAACTATTTGAAGCTTTTATCAAGTTATAGCTGGACCTTTAAGAAAAGCTGCCTACGTACCCTTGCAAAGGGATCAAGCCATTCATAGTTCGGTTGCGAAGTGTATAGACAGAAGAAATCTAGAGAGAATTAGGTCTTTTCTCTAGATTATATATTTTTTGGTGGTTGCTTTAGGTCGGGTTTTTTTCTGTTTCCTGATCCTCTTCAACTTATGAGAAGCTTTCTATTTATAAGAAGACGAGGTCAGTTTTTTTGACCTCGTTTCCCTTTTTCTTTTAGGAATATTTCTCCTTTTCCGTTTAAGAAAAGTTTTTCTTTTCCTTATTCTTCGGAAGTTTTCCATTATCTTTAAAGATTCTTCCTTAATCCACAAGTCGGAGTGATTTTCCTTATCTTGATGGGCTTAGGTTGTTGCTAGAGAAAGCTTTTTAGGAAATGTGCTAATTTCCACTCTAACAGTAAGTCCCCCCCCCCCCCCCCCCCCCCCTCCCACAGTTCGGCGAGACTGATTGCAAATCAGGTCGGTGGACTTCATGAAGCAAAATTGGTTTGATCTTGCAATAAGCGTCAGCTCATCGAGAGTGTCTTCTATAATTTGAGCTTGGCCTGTTAAGGATTGTTCTTCAAGAAAGTCATTTCTGGTTTTGATTTACATTGCGCTTCGGCGACCTTGATTTCACGTCGTACTTCGGCGTTTTTGATTCACATCGCTCTTCGGCGGATGTAGAGTGTTGCGTTTTATTGGATGTCTGAGATGCCAAAATTTCTATCTTCAACGAAGGTTTCTTTCTTGTTATGCATCGCTGCGAGAATGCTTTTATTGCATTTAAATTTATGCAACTGGTTTAGGTGGACCAGATAAACTGCTAAATAGATCAGACAAAGTGATAAATTTATCTAGTCGATAAATCAATCGATCGAAGTGATAGTGTAGCGATGCTTTTCAAAGCGTGTAATGGTCTTTTAAAAACATAATGCTTAAACGCTGGTTGACGAGGTGATCCTTAACTTTGAAAGATTTGCGAAGTCAACTTTTCGACTTGCGATGCGGGGCATTCTTTAGGCCGGTGCTGGAGGCGAGATTCATTTGCTCGTCTTATACCAAACGACAACGAGATTGAATACCAAGCTTTCAGGATTCACTTCGGCCTGAAAGGTGTAATCAAGGGTCATGCAAGTATTATCCTCGGCTTTCATCTTATCCACTTCGGAAGTATCTTAAATCAGACCGAAGTATCAAAAGAATGGTGATCAGCCACTAATTAATTTTTGCTTTTTGCTTTCTCGAATCGAATGTTTGGCCAGAACAATGATTCAGCAAAATGCATTCGCATAAGGGAGCTCTACATGCCGAGCTTGTTAAGAATTTGAGCATTCTCTAGTTCAGCAGTGTGAACATCCTTTTGCTTTTTACTTGCCGTAAATCTCATTTTTGGAGCTTCTTTTGTTTCATTATACGTGTAGTGGTCTCATTCGAGAAGAGATTGCAGAGTGAATTTCTTTATGCGAGACTTGAAGCTCGGCTTTGAATGATGCTTGCGTGATGGAAGCGTACTTCGGCTTATTTTTTCTTGGTGCTTCGGGAGTTTGTTTATAAACTCACGATTGAGCTGAACGTGGACTGGACAAGGTTTGAAGCCAGACGTTGTGGCGCAATTGGAGGGATAATCGTGGTAGAACACACACGAGCCTCCCATGTTCGTTTGAAGAAGATGCATTAAAACTGATTTTTTTACAGCTGATTTTGCGGATTGAATATACCTCGTAAAAGGTAACGGAAGGAATATCTGAATAGCTGACATCAAGATCTTTCCAACCATATGTGGATCGTCTTCTGTTTCCCTCTCAGTCGTCGAGAAATTGCCCCGAAAATCTCTCAAAATCTCTTCCTTCGGGTTAAAATTGCAGGTTTTTGTGATTTTTTGCAAACTTGTGAATCGATTTGTGAATGGAGTTTAACTCCGATTGATACTCCGTAAACTCTTGTAGATTCTATGCAAATAGATCTTTCCAAAGACACCTTGTAAACGATCCGAGCCTCCTTGGTTGTTCGGGAATTCTCCTCAAAATATCAGTACTTGCACTGTTTTTCTGGGTTGCAGATTGCAGAGATTTCTTGTACGAAAAGCAAAGTCTCCAAGTGGTTTTTTCTGCTATAGCTAGGATTTCGTCTTGCTATATTTTGGCTTCTGGGTTGACAATGCTGCTGTTGGTAACTTCTATGCCCTCAGCCGGTGTTTCTTCTGCTTTCGGCCAGTTTCTGAAATAGCTTCCTTTGCACTATTTTTCTTTCTTTCTTCTTTCTAATCAAAAGCTTTTGGAGACTTAGAATGGAGATGATATCTTCATAGAGTTTGATAGGTGGCTGAGTAGTCGAATATGTGATTTCAATCACGTCGGGTTTGTTGAATAAGGTGTGCCGAGCTGGCTTAATTGTACCTCTTATTCCCCTCCTTTTTTTTTGTTGAATCCATAACTTCTGTTCTTGTTGCCCGCCATGATCATGGTGTTGTTAATGAGCCGACTGATTTTCTTTTAAAAAAAAGAGAAGCTTTCGTGTCTTGTAAGACGGTGATGCCGCCTTATCTTCCTTTTTTTTTTTTTTTTTTTGAAACAGCAACGTGTTGTTGAATTATTCGGGAGCCGTAATAATCCATTAGGGAGCAATGTAGCAGAGCCATCAAAAAAAAAATTTACAGGTTCTCCAGGAAGCAATTATGGAAGCAGCTTAGCGAAGAAGAGAAGCCGTGAGGGTGTCGCCTGCGTTTATTGCGTGGCCTTTAATGTCCCACGTTGGTTTTTGCTTTCTTTTTTTTTTGGTGAGCTCAAGTTGATAAATTTTTAAGCTGATGTTGGGTGGAGATGACGTTAGTTGGTTTAGTAGTAAAGTGACTTCTAGGCACGTCGGAATTGTTTTTCTTCGTCTTCTTGATGTCCTGGAGGTGAATCCTCTCAGAGTAGATCTTCTAATCATGTTGGTATAGTCGAATGAGCTGGGCTACCTCAGTAATGCGTTTTATTTTTTAGAGAAAGATCGTAGAGATCTATGGCGGTCCTTGTTGGTTGAGAGCTGGAGCGTGATCTAGCTCGTTGGAGAAACATATTTTCCTCGATCTTAATGTTATTTACGAGATGTCGGCGGTAGCTCTGGCACGTCTTGAAAAACAGGGGAGACTTTTCTATCTTAGTGTTATGTGAAATTCAGAGCTTCAGCGAGGTCTATATTCACTCGAGAGGTCTTTAACTCCGACTCAAAGGAGCTTTCTTCCATCGCAAGTTTTTCATTGTTTTGCTTTTCTAGGTGCGAGATTCGGATCTCGGCTTTTAAATGGTGAAGGCTTACAATGCTCGCATCATGGAGGCTTACAATGCTCATCTTAGACTGTGCGAGGTTCGGAGCTCGGCTTATTGGAGGGTTGTGAGCTTGTGTGGTGAGCTCGTCACCGTTATTAGAATGCGATGAATCAACTTTTGAAATTCCGAGCTGGTATCAAGGCTTTAAAGCTCGTTGTAGTCGTTGCTTGCATGGTGTAAACCATGCTTAATTTAGAGGAGCGTATGACGAGCTTGTCACACGACGTCTTTAAAGATTTTATCGGATAGCTAGGTTGTAGAGCACGTCGGATTTTCTAAATAGGGTTCTTCTTTTTTGTTTTGCTGGTTTTTTTGTCGTTGGTAAGTAGCCAAAGTGATCTCTTCAGGATTGCCTCCCCTCTTCTTTGATAAGAATTTTGTTCTTTATTTTTGATTTGAGATCAAAGCACGGATGGGGGCATCGTTGCATCGATGAACATTGGCAAGTCAGCATCTATTCAATCACGATAGAGACAAAGGGATGAATTAATTCAATACCCACTCTATTTGAAATTACTAATAATAAAGCAATATTAGAGTTTGAAAACGAATAACCAAGTATGGATTCGTGAGGCGTAGCAGCCTAAGGTTAGACATAATCACATTATTAAATGTGATTATGTTATAATCATGCATAATAATTAAATACCCAAGTATGTAGCACTTATCTTTATTTTTTGATGCATGAAGTTCAAGACATCGTTTGAGATGTGACGACCAAGTTACCGGGGTGGCTAGGGCTTCAGAGTTGACGTTCTCTTTCTTCTGGAACCTCCGGCTTTCCAAGTTTGATAATTCTCCAGTTCTCACAGACGGCAACAACTGTTGAACCAGAAAATCATCACTAGGGTTTTGATTTTCGGTTGTGGGTTTTAGAGAATATCAAATTGGAGCTCGGAGATTAGGTCATCGAAAAGATGAACTACTTGAAGTTTTTATCAAGTTATAGCTGGACCTTTAAGAAAGGCTGCCTACGTACCTTGCAAAGGGATCAAGCCATTCGTAGTTCGGTTGCAAAGTGTATAGACAGAAGAAATCTAGAGAGAATTAGGTCTTTTCTCTAGATTATAGATTTTTTGGTGGTTGCTTTAGGTCGGGTTTTTTTCCATTTCCTGATCCTCTTAAACTTATGAGAAGCTCTCTATTTATAAGAAGACGAGGTCGGTTTTTTTTACCTTGTTTCCTTTTTTCTTTTAGGAATATTTCTCCTTTTCCGTTTAGGAAAAGTTCTTCTTTTCCTTATTCTTCGGAAGTTTTCCATTATTTTTAAAGA